GCACTGATTGGCTCAGTGACCGTAGCATGGGTTTGTTTGCTCTCCCACACTGTGCCCGTGCGCTCAGCATCTCTCCTTGACTACTTCACATCAAGTACCCACATAGAATTTTACATGTTGTTAAAATTATGTAGGTTTAAGCATGTAGAAAGTGTTTAAGAGCATAAGAAGTGTTTATAAGAGTGTAGGAAAGGTTAATAAGAGAGTGGGAAAGGTTTACAGGAGAGTGGCAAGGGTTTATAAACCCTTAAAATGTGTATAAATAACAAAATAAATATAATGCTGCTACTTTGCAAATTTTCATCTATCTCGGGGGTCTCTGGAACATAACTCCCGTGATGGGTGAGGGATCCCTGTATTTGTAATCTTACTGGTTGATTGTAATTTGACCCATGGTGTAACTTTGCTCTGTAAATTACTCCTGACAAAGGGCCTTGGTGGCAACTCACTCAGGACTTCTGTCTCTCAGGAGCTATTCCTATTCCCCAATAAAATTTCACTACTCTTAACCTCCTTTTCCTTTAGAATTCATTGTTCAGTTTCAGGGGACACGAACTCAAGCCGGGAGTTATACTTCTCCTAAGTCAGTACAATAACAATGTCCAAACAATATGGTCATCGTCTATCTAATTTTTTTACCTTAGTGCATTTAACTTTTTACCACTAAAATTTCAATGTTTCATTTTGTTTCCACCTGGAAGTATAGTGTTTGGGAGTTGGTTTGAGCTGCCTCAGTTTCCCAGAGTCTAAGATTCACATGGATTCCAGTTGATCAGAACTCTAATGCACTGACCAACAAACAGCTCTGCAGAGGGATAGATGAAAATATTTGACTCAGTGCTGCCTTAATATATGCAAGCAACCATAAAGCATGTAAATTTTTATGTTAAAATCCTTTCTTTATGGGCTCTAATGTTTGAATGTCATATGATTTCATGTGTTAGAAATACTCTTTTCATTTTTTCAATCACTTAAAAATGTGAAAACATTTGTAATTCATGAGCCATGCAAACAGTGGTGGCAGATGGGATTTCACTCAAAGGAAGCATCTTATAAGCTAAAACTCTGTTTGATTTCCTGTGATATTGTGAACACATTCATAAAAAATACTGGCGCTTTTTTTTTATTGCAGAGAATCAGGTAACATAAAAAATATTTTCAGAATGTTTATATCTGAGTTATGGTTTTGCTTCTCTTTTGCCCTACATATTTTATTGCCTTTCTTATTTAGGTTGAGTTCTCTTCTTAGAAAAGGTAAATGATATATTCTAGCACATGGAAGATCCTTCACATTTCAGTTTTCTCTCCAGATGCTATTTCTTCTGTTATGGGTGCAATTCTTCTTGGGTATCTAACATTTCACTTTCAATTGTCCTTCAAATTTAGATATTTCTCAAGCAGGCACTATTCTAACTGTCCACATGGGGCCCAAACTGTTCAATGTGACATAGGAGTTTTCTTCAGGGAAAATAAAAACTTTCCAAAAACTGTATTTAATTAGTGTATACCATGTATGTTTACTTAACCCTACTTCTTCTGAAAAGTCTACTATCAGAAACAAGTTCGTTTCGTGGGTTGATGTATTGACTTGTTCTGCTAACTATTTAGAACATCATTGAGAATCTGTTCTTCAACTTTACTTTCGGATGATAGCAATCCCTTGATTTTTCTCAGGTGCGGTGGTTGTTTTCAAATACCTAAAACTTTAAAAATTGTCCCAAGTATTTGACAAAATATGTTTGCTTTCTATAATCTTTATGGTCTGTGTTAAATTTGATGCTATAAGGATAACCTGCCTCACAAAAAAGAGAACTGAACTGTAAATGAACCTTTAAATCCTTCCCGGATAGCTACCTGAACTTTGCTTTGATTTGGGCAATAGAAACTATCAACCCTTATTTTCTGTTATCATTCCCAAGGAGAGCAATTGTTTCCTGTTTAGCTGCTACTATTGCCGTCAACATCACCACCACGTTTAAAACCTAGAAGTGCTTCACTCCATTTGAGACCAAGTTTGTGACAGTTTTTCTCCTCAGAAAAACTAAAGGTGTAAAAGAATGTTCTTTGGGGAGCTGATCCTAGTGGAATTATTTTTGTTTCCTGGTCTTTGCCCTTTACAGTGTTTTTTTCTTTTTTCCTCCTTCATCCTTTTGCATGGCTTACCTCTGGGAGCCTCCCTTTTGCTCAGCATTCTAGAGAAGTCCCAGCAGAATGGTGAAGATGCTGACCACTAAATAATCATTCTTACAGAACCAGAATATCCAGTGAACTTTAAAATGTTCCTTGATAGTCTTTAGTTCTGACCATCAACTAACACGAACATGTAAGCTGCTGTGAAGTTTCACTTACAGAAAACTAACAGGTCTGCTTAAAAAGAATAACTATAGGAGTTGGCCCAAGGAGGTTGACGCCCATTGTGCTGTTACAGAGAAAAAAAAAAGAAGGCACCCTCCCTGGATGACACACAGGCAATTCAACAAAAACCTTCGCTTTCTGCACCTCTATTCCCTTCTTATAAAAACACTTTGGACGCCTGAGTCCCCCAAGTCAGCTGTCCTAGAATGATGACACCTCCATCTTCCTCAGAGCCCACTCTTGAATGGCCCTGATCCTTTCCTACCAACTCTGGTCTCCTAAAGCTTAGCCTTTGAGCAGTGAGTGGCAAAGACCTTATTTAGGTGAAGAGATGAGGAAGTGGAATATCATTATTACTTATTTGGTACACATTTTAAGACACAAAGCCCCCTTACTTCCTTATTCATTTTTGTTATGTTTCTTCCTTTTTTTCTGTTTCTTCCTAAAATTTCTCGCTCCATTCCTAAACTTAATCTAAGAAAGTACAAAAATATTGCTGACTTTTGAATATCCTGTCCAGGATGGTCTTCTACAGACCCTGCTAGAGGAAAATCAAATTCTTTCTTTCACTTACCTAAACATAGTCAACCAACGTTACAAAGAGCTTCACCATTTATTTTAATGTAACATAAACATTTATATATATATATATTTATAT